ACTACGCATCATTGCTTGACAAGCTGAAGGCAGAAATTGAGAAAAAACGACCGCATTTGAAAAAGAAGAAAGTGCTGTTCCATCAAGATAACGCACCGTCTCACACTTCGACGGTCGCTATGGCAAAAATTCACGAATTGCGGTTTGAATTAATTGACCATCCACCATATTCACCAGATCAGGGGGTCGATTGTGTATCTTTGATGACTTTCCTCACCTCTCGTACTTTTATCTCACATGAAAAAATACGTGCGATTGGCTATGAGCATAATGAAAATGCGATATCCCTATGCTCACTAGAGTGAAAATTACAGATACGAGTACGGTTGAATGAATAGCATAACCTTAATTGTAGAAAATGGTAGAAAGTTCCGAGACTTCCGAGTTCTATCCCATTCTATCCAAATTATTATATTATCCAAAATTACATTGTGTTTTCCAAAGGTGGGTTAGAATTGGCCAGAATTATCCGAGAGCTAACGTTTCAATTGCATGGAGACACAATGAATGTTACGGAAAAGCAGAAAGAAATGTTGATACAATTCATGGAACAGCACCCTGACTTTGGTTGAGGTCGTTTAAGATATAACAAGGAAAATAAACGAAAAATTGTAAGTATTATTATGATTATTAATCATATTTCTTACAAGTATGTTTCCATAAATAATATTCTTATAAGTTTTGTTTTTATATATGTCATTTGAATTCAATACTTAAATTATTTTTAGGATGAACTTTGGGAAAAATTATCTTCTTCTTTAAACACATCAGCATATGGACCACGCAAGTCAGCAAAGGAATGGGCTAAGGTAATTTTTATTTCATTATGGGTGCATTCCGTTTCATGCTTGATGTGCATAATGCATCACTTATCCTTCTTCAACATTCGGCGAACAACAAAGAGAAATGATGCATTATGCGCATTATGCGTGAAACGGAATGTACCCTATATAATATGTATGTTTTATCAGTGTACCGTCAATATATGAATTTTTGAGTAGAGATGTGCAAACTATTCAAATACGAATAATTCGATTCGTATTCGAATAGTTTGTATGTACAATACATTTCTCTAATACCAGCTTTGACTTAAGTAAAGAGTTGTAATGTGATAGAATGCAAAAAAAGATCAAAATTAAAAAATTTCGTGATTTAGATTTCATAAAATGGTGTGTAAATCTACAATAGAGATGTGTAAATTATTCGAATACGAATTCGAATAGTTTGCACGTTTATACTTTTAAGTTAACCTTTAAACTATGTGATTGTGTGAAATTATTATTTATTGCTTATCATCATATTTTTTGTAGACATGGAGAGACTGGAAGGCTAATACCTTAAAAAAGGTTGCAAAACACAAGATCTACATGATGGGAACAGGTGGAGGATCACCAAAAGATTTGCAGTTATCTGGATCAGAGAATGCCTTATTGAATTTTTTAACTCCAGACGCTAGTGGTTTAAGAGATATTTCAGAAGGTGGATTTACAGATATGACTCCAAGTTATGATAAAACTTCGAATTCATTTGCTTTATCATCTAATATTGAAGAAAAAGAAGATGAAGTATTTTCACTTGATACTTGGAATGATACAATAATGGCATCACATGAAATGTATTCTTCTGAACAAAATACGCAGAATATGCAATCATGTATGTCATTAAATAGTAACATACATCCAATTGAAAATAATAAAAATGAGGTATATTTTACAAATTTTATTTAATTATCACCATTTTGTTAATTAAAAATATAAATTAGTAAATTTATTATATCTTCTTTTTAATTAATAAGATTCAATAAATAAAATACATTCGCAACAAGATAATAAAATAAATAATTCTTTAAAACAGAAAAAGCGCTCTATTCAACAAAATACAAAAGTAAATAAATGTGAAACAAGTGTTTCATCATTACACAATATGAGGAGTATATACCAAATTAAAAATAAGGAAAATTGGGTATGTATATGAAATTTATTTAGGCACGCATTATAATATATTATTTTTTATAAATATAGATTAATATATTGTAGATTTAACTTTATTGTATTTTACTTTACTATTTGCAGGAACAGGGCAAAACAACATGTGCGTTATCTTTAGATGATACAGAGAATTATATTGCAAATCATTCAAAAGGTATACAAAGTTTTTTTAATAAAATGTATTAATATCATTAAAATAAAATATGGGCTTCCACTATTCTAACAAATTGCTTGAAAACGTTAAAGAGGCATTAGTAGTCGGTGCAGACAACAGTGCGCAAAGTGTTAAATTGTTTTGATAATTTACCGACATCAAAACTGTCGAAATGAAATACGAAATTCTCTGATATAATACATCAGAGAATTTTGTATTTGAGTAGTTTTAATGTCGATAAACCAAAGTTATTTACTGTTAACACTGTTCACTGTTTTCCGCGCCGACTCCTAATGTCCCTTTAACGTTTTCAATTAATATCGTTGTTTTAATTAACGTTTTCAATTAATATCGTTGTTTTAATTAACGTTTTCAATTAATATCGTTGTTTTAATTAACTTATTTAAATATTATTTAGATGTCAAAAAGCCACGGCTTATGGAAACAGCCGTTAATTTATTAGGAGAGAGAAATCAGCAACATCCGAGAATACTAAACTAAAAATTTTAGAATTAAAACAGGAAAAAATAAAATTAAAAAAAGAAGAATTAATTGTTTTTAAACAAATTCTACAGCAACTACAGAATACGAATGACCTCATATCGTCTATGAAGGAAGAAATATTAGGACAATACCTGACAACAGATCTTGAATAAACAAAAATATATATTATGCAAGTTACCAAAGATAAGTACATGCATTCTGTGATATATGCATCGTACATTTTTATTTCTTCATATACACTAAGTATAAGTTTATAAATTACTAAGTATAATTTATTAATTTGTTTGGTTTCAAAAAAATGTTATGTTTTTTACTATGATCATATCTCAAGTTTAAGTTTAGTTGAGATTGTTGAGGTTTATGATTTTATGATCTAATTGATGGATGTTAAAAATAATTATATTAATATATTTAATATTATGATTATGTACAGCCTTGGCCAAAATCATTAGCCATTATTAACAATTATTTAAAGTTTTAGCTCAACATATGTAAGTGTGTAATATTTTGGCCAAAGCTATATATACATATGTATGTATATGTGTAACTCATGTAGCACACATGTTTAAACTTGCGATGGTGCTACAAATTATAACTTTACTTTTTGCGAATAACATTGTCAAAATGATTTTGTAATTTTATAGAACACAAGAAACATATGATTAATAAAAAAATTGATGTGTTTTAAATTAGTGATAACTGTAATTTATTGCTTGTTTGCATATGTACAACAATAAAGTATGTCACTAGCAAAATTTACGAATACTTCATTTAGTCTCTTGTAAATACGTTAAAAAATGTAATCTTTTACAGTCGTGTGCAGCTCGAGAGATTACATTCGCATCTGGAACATAAAATTTGTTGTATTGAACGTTTAAGGTACCCAAATGTTAATTTAACATAACATAATTATGACATTTGAATATTTTGTATTAAATTAATATCTAATTTTTTAATTTTTAGTGTTCAAATAAAGTAATAGTTTAAAATTTTTTATTTTGTAGTATTAAAGTAACATAATTTATGAGTAAGTAAACAAATAACATAAAAATAATAAGTTTAAAATGTAAATTCTAAGATAAGTGAACAAATAAACTCTAAGATAAATATACAAGTTAACTTTTATTATCTTTAAAAACAAATCTCTAGCAATTTATCAACTATTGATGTTTATGCACAAGAATCTTTGTTTCAGAAGTTAATTGAGAACTTTTAACATTTGATGTACATATTAATTATGAAAATATTAAAAAATGACAGGAAACGCAACATACCTCGTCTATTCGGTAAAATACCATCGAATAACATCCCATCGTATTTGTTCAGCATTATTTACATCAATGTCACCATACGGTATTGGTGCTTGTCGATCTATTTCATCTAAATAAATTTCATTTGTTGGAATTCTCCATTTTACAGCAATATTGTGTAGAACACAACATGCATTTACAATACGAGCTAGAAAAGAGAAAAGTATTATAATAAATACTAAAGAACATTATATTTTTTAATAATGTTTTTATATTATATTACATATAAAAATTGTGTTTAATACCTGCAAATTCCGGCTGATAATGCAATGCCCTCTCTTTTCGCAAGCATCGCCATTGGCCTTTCAAAACACCTATACCTCTTTCTGCAGAAGATCGTGCTTTTGTAAAATGTTCTGTGTATCTAAACTCTGGAGAGCCCAAAGGTGCGTTTATAAATGGTTTTAAAAGATAAGGCTTAAGCGGGTATGCGGAATCTCCTAAAAAGAATATTAAAATGCACAATATACGACTCAAATGACTAAATGCCTGCGAAGTTGTCATGTTATTATCAATCATTTCAATACCCAGTGAGAAATGACAATGGAATCGACATCG